AAGACGGGCCACGCGTTAACCGCGAGTGAGCGCCCAGACGCCTTCCCGCTACAGTAATTGCACACACTACCACTGGACCACACACTACCACTGGACCACACACTACCACTGGACCACACACTACCACAGGACCACACACTACCACTGGACCACACACTACCACTGGACCACACACTACCACTGGACCACACACTACCACTGGACCACACACTACCACTGGACCACACACTACCACAGGACCACACACTACCACTGGACCACACACTACCACTGGACCACACACTACCACTGGACCACACACTACCACTACCACTGGACCACACACTACCACTGGACCACACACTACCACTGGACCACACTACACTACCACACACTACCACTGGACCACACACTACCACTGGACCACACACTACCACAGGACCACACACTACCACTGGACCACACACTACCACAGGACCACACACTACCACTGGACCACACACTACCACAGGACCACACACTACCACTGGACCACACACTACCACTGGACCACACACTACCACAGGACCACACACTACCACTGGACCACACACTACCACAGGACCACACACTACCACTGGACCACACACTACCACAGGACCACACACTACCACAGGACCACACACTACCACTGGACCACACACTACCACTGGACCACACACTACCACTGGACCACACACTACCACAAGACCACACACTACCACAGGACCACATACTTCCACAGGACCACACACTACCACTGGACCACACACTACCACTGGACCACACACTACCACTGGACCACACACTACCACCACACACTACCACTGGACCACACACTACCACAGGACCACACACTACCACAGGACCACACACTACCACAGGACCACACACTACCACAGGACCACACACTACCACAGGACCACACACTACCACTGGACCACACACTACCACAGGACCACACACTACTACAGGACCACACACTACCACAGGACCACACACTACTACAGGACCACACACTACCACAGGACCACACACTACCACAGGACCACACACTACCACAGGACCACACACTACCACCCACACACTACCACAGGACCACACACTACCACAGGACCACACACTACCACAGGACCACACACTACTACAGGACCACACACTACCACTGGACCACACACTACCACAGGACCACACACTACCACACGACCACACACTACCACTGGACCACACACTACCACAGGACCACACACTACCACAGGACCACACACTACCACACACTACCACCACACACTACCACAGGACCACACACTACCACAGGACCACACACTACCACAGGACCACACACTACCACAGGACCACACACTACCACAGGACCACACACTACCACAGGACCACACACTACTACAGGACCACACACTACCACAGGACCACACACTACCACAGGACCACACACTACCACTGGACCACACACTACCACAGGACCACACACTACCACTGGACCACACACTACCACAGGACCACACACTACCACAGGACCACACACTACCACAGGACCACACACTACCACAGGACCACACACTACCACAGGACCACACACTACCACAGGACCACACACTACCACAGGACCACACACTACCACAGGACCACACACTACCACAGGACCACACACTACCACAGGACCACACACTACCACAGGACCACACACTACCACAGGACCACACACTACCACAGGACCACACACTACCACAGGACCACACACTACCACTGGACCACACACTACCACAGGACCACACACTACCACAGGACCACACACTACCACTGGACCACACACTACCACAGGACCACACACTACCACAGGACCACACACTACCACAGGACCACACACTACCACAGGACCACACACTACCACAGGACCACACACTACCACAGGACCACACACTACCACAGGACCACACACTACCACTGGACCACACACTACCACAGGACCACACACTACCACAGGACCACACACTACCACAGGACCACACACTACCACAGGACCACACTACCACAGGACCACACACTACCACAGGACCACACACTACCACAGGACCACACACTACCACAGGACCACACACTACCACCACACACTACCACACCACACACTACCACAGGACCACACACTACCACTGGACCACACACTACCACAGGACCACACACTACCACACGACCACACACTACCACAGGACCACACACGACCACACACTACCACAGGACCACACACTACCACAGGACCACACACTACCACAGGACCACACACGACCACACACTACCACAGGACCACACACTACCACTGGACCACACACTACCACAGGACCACACACTACCACTGGACCACACACTACCACAGGACCACACACTACCACTGGACCACACACTACCACTGGACCACACACTACCACTGGACCACACACTACCACTGGACCACACACTACCACTGGACCACACACTACCACTGGACCACACACTACCACTGGACCACACACTACCACAGGACCACACACTACCACTGGACCACACACTACCACTGGACCACACACTACCACAGGACCACACACTACCACAGGACCACACACTACCACACACCACACCACTACCACTGTACCACAGGACCACACACTACCACTGGACCACACACTACCACAGGACCACACACTACCACTGGACCACACACTACCACAGGACCACACACTACCACTGGACCACACACTACCACTGGACCACACACTACCACTGGACCACACACTACCACTGGACCACACACTACCACTGGACCACACACTACCACTGGACCACACACTACCACTACCACACACTACCACAGGACCACACACTACCACAGGACCACACACTACCACTGGACCACACACTACCACTGGACCACACACTACCACTGGACCACACACTACCACTGGACCACACACTACCACAGGACCACACACTACCACAGGACCACACACTACCACAGGACCACACACTACCACTGGACCACACACTACCACAGGACCACACACTACCACTGGACCACACACTACCACCACACACTACCACTGGACCACACACTACCACTGGACCACACACTACCACAGGACCACACACTACCACTCGACCACACACTACCACAGGACCACACACTACCACAGGACCACACACTACCACAGGACCACACACTACCACAGGACCACACACTACCACTGGACCACACTACACTACCACTGGACCACACACTACCACTGGACCACACACTACCACTGGACCACACACTACCACAGGACCACACACTACCACAGGACCACACACTACCACTGGACCACACACTACCACCACACACTACCACAGGACCACACACTACCACTGGACCACACACGACCACACACTACCACAGGACCACACACTACCACTGGACCACACACTACCACAGGACCACACACTACCACAGGACCACACACTACCACTGGACCACACACAACCACACGACCACACACTACCACAGGACCACACACTACCACAGGACCACACACTACCACAGGACCACACACTACCACTGGACCACACACTACCACTGGACCACACACTACCACTGGACCACCACACTACTACAGGACCACACACTACCACAGGACCACACACTACCACTGGACCACACACTACCACTGGACCACACACTACCACAGGACCACACACTACCACTGGACCACACACTACCACTGGACCACACACTACCACTGGACCACACACTACCACTGGACCACACACTACCACTGGACCACACACTTCCACTGCTGCATAAGCACCAGGGTAATAATTTAATATCCTACTCCCACCACTGCCCTGTACGAACCAGGGTGAAGATGCAAATTTCTAGTTTAGGTTATTTATTATGCACCCCATACCCATCCTGTGGGCGGTAGTGGAAAGGGTTACAGAGGCACATAATGGGCTCAGGGACTGAACCCCACAATTCATTTAGCTAAGCAAGTTACAGTCTTGATGAGCTAGTTACAAAATTCAATGCACATCGTCACATCATTATTGGGTTCGAGACCGACCACAAGAACAGTTTCTAAATTAAGCAACTGACATATGTGGAGAGCTAGTGTCACAATTGATGTTCGAATCCTCGTCACGGCCCTTGTGGATTTGTTCATTTGATACATCACGTAATTGTGATTTCTGTGTGTAATTGACGTTTATCTTGCAACCCCCCTCCTCCCCACCCCATCCAGTGGGAGGTGGTGGATAGTTTACAATCACTTAGTTACTACCTACAGTTAGCAAACTGGGGATATTTGGCCAAGAATTTTAGAAGCAGATAATTTTTAACGAAATATTTACATTTTGAACATTTTGATATAGAATTGTCTCTGAATTCACGTATCTTTCCGCACTTCATCACATAGTGAAGGAGGGTGTGCGAATAATTTTGTTGACAGTTTATTTTTAGTCAGGTCTACACTAGCAGATAATGAGAATTCCCAGAGATTCTTGTAACCTAGTCTAAACCTAGCAGTAGTAGCATATATGAGTCTGCTGATTTTATTGGATGGTCCATAGATGTGTACTCACCTATATGTACTCACCTATATGTGCTTGCAGGATCGAGCATTGACTCTTGGATCCCGCCTTTCTAGCTATCGGTTGTTTACAGCAATGACTCCTGTCCCATTTCCCTATCATACCTAGTTTTAAAAGTATGAATAGTATTTGCTTCCACAACCTGTGGATCTTGACCCACAGGTCACAACCTGTGGATCTGTGGATCAATTGCAAATTTGTGTGGCTTCTCTTGCATGATAGTATGATGGTAGATAGAATTACTGGTGTCGATTTCACTTTGCCTCGCATCAACAAGATGCATTAGGTCAAAACACTAACACTGTTCTGTAAGAACCCGGGTCAAGATGTATATACGAACCACACACACTGCAACTGCTCCTTGAGGAGCTTTAAGGATTAGAACCAAAGAATAGGCAGATTTTTAAATTTATTTGAGAATCATAAACAACACTAAATTACTAAAAATACATATTGTGTTTATTGACTTCGTTTCCCTAAAGGCATATAATTCAATGTTAATTTATTACAGCACTTTACATATGTTTACTGGCAATTATTATAATATAATCATGCAAACTTTGTGAGTAATAATAAACCCTTCAGCTCTGCTATAGTTGCAGCTCATAAATAAGGAACACAATACTCATACAAATCTGCTTGATAAACCCCACAGTCAGACGTGCCGAGGAAATACACTTGGATATCTCTGTCCACGACATTTGTCGGGAATCCTGACTTTACCTGAGAGCCACTATATAACACTAGTGGCCTCGATGAGGACAGGAAGACTTCGGTTTGTCGAAGGTTCTCCCCAGTTGCCTTGATGAGTGGACCTTCGACAATCCTGGCGTGGATAACGCTGGCTGCTGCGGTTCCTAGCGTAGGTCTACACATCCTGGGACTCGTGGTCACAGAGTCCCGGGTAGATGATGGAGGGAGAGTCCGGGTGACAAGCGGTGGCTGGGGGGCCCGCTAGGTATTGAGGGGCCCCCAGCACGTTACCCGAGGGCCCGTAGTTACACACATACACATAGCTCTCGCTGCCTGATTGACTTCTGAAGGTCGCGGCTCCACACCCGACCTCCAACGTCCTCGCCCACACCACCTGCAGGAGCGGAGTGCCTCAGTGTTCAGCACACTCGTGGGTGTTGGATGGTCAGTAGTGGCATGATGCTGAGTGTGGGATGGTCAGTAGTGGCATGATGTTGAGTGTGGGATGGTCAGTAGTGGCATGATGTTGAGTGAAGGATGGTCAGTAGTGGCATGATGCTGAGTGTGGGATGGTCAGTAGTGGCATGATGCTGAGTGTGTGATGGTCAGTAGTGGCATGATGTTGAGTGAAGGATGGTCAGTAGTGGCATGATGCTGAGTGAGGGATGGTCAGTAGTGGCATGATGTTGAGTGTGGGATGGTCAGTAGTGGCATGATGCTGAGTGTGGGATGGTCAGTAGTGGCATGATGTTGAGTGTGGGATGGTCAGTAGTGGCATGATGTTGAGTGAAGGATGGTCAGTAGTGGCATGATGTTGAGTGAAGGATGGTCAGTAGTGGCATGATGCTGAGTGTTGGATGGTCAGTAGAGGCATGATGCTGAGTGTGGGATGGTCAGTAGTGGCATGATGTTGAGTGTGTGATGGTCAGTAGTGGCATGATGCTGAGTGTGTGATGGTCAGTAGTGGCATGATGCTGAGTGTGTGATGGTCAGTAGTGGCATGATGTTGAGTGTGTGATGGTCAGTAGTGGCATGATGCTGAGTGTGTGATGGTCAATAGTGGCATGATGCTGAGTGTGTGATGGTCAATAGTGGCATGATGCTGAGTGTGTGATGGATGGGATGGTCAGTAGTGGCATGATGCTGAGTGTGGGATGGTCAGTAGTGGCATGATGCTGAGTGAGGGATGGTCAGTAGTGGCATGATGCTGAGTGTGGGATGGATGGGATGGTCAGTAGTGGCATGATGCTGAGTGTGGGATGGTCAGTAGTGGCATGATGCTGAGTGTGGGATGGTCAGTAGTGGCATGATGCTGAGTGAGGGATGGTCAGTAGTGGCATGATGTTGAGTGTGTGATGGTCAGTAGTGGCATGATGCTGAGTGTGGGATGGTCAGTAGTGGCATGATGCTGAGTGTGTGATGGTCAGTAGTGGCATGATGCTGAGTGTGGGATGGTCAGTAGTGGCATGATGCTGAGTGTGTGATGGTCAGTAGTGGCATGATGCTGAGTGTGTGATGGATGGGATGGTCAGTAGTGGCATGATGCTGAGTGTGGGATGGTCAGTAGTGGCATGATGCTGAGTGTGGGATGGTCAGTAGTGGCATGATGCTGAGTGTGTGATGGTCAGTAGTGGCATGATGCTGAGTGTGGGATGGTCAGTAGTGGCATGATGCTGAGTGTGTGATGGTCAGTAGTGGCATGATGCTGAGTGTGGGATGGTCAGTAGTGGCATGATGCTGAGTGTGTGATGGTCAGTAGTGGCATGATGCTGAGTGTGTGATGGATGGGATGGTCAGTAGTGGCATGATGCTGAGTGTGGGATGGTCAGTAGTGGTATGATGCTGAGTGTGTGATGGTCAGTAGTGGCATGATGCTGAGTGTGTGATGGTCAATAGTGGCATGATGCTGAGGGAGGGATGGATGGGATGGTCAGTATTGGCATGATGCTGAGTGTGTGATGGTCAGTAGTGGCATGATGCTGAGTGTGTGATGGATGGGATGGTCAGTATTGGCATGATGCTGAGTGTGTGATGGTCAGTAGTGGCATGATGCTGAGTGTGTGATGGTCAGTAGTGGCATGATGCTGAGTGTGTGATGGTCAGTAGTGGCATGATGCGGAGTGTGTGATGGTCAGTAGTGGCATGATGCTGAGTGTGTGATGGTCAGTAGTGGCATGATGCTGAGTGTGTGATGGTCAGTAGTGGCATGATGCTGAGTGTGTGATGGTCAGTAGTGGCATGATGCTGAGTGTGGGATGGTCAGTAGTGGCATGATGCTGAGTGTGGGATGGCCAGTAGTGGCATGATGCTGAGTGTGTGATGGTCAGTAGTGGCATGATGCTGAGTGTGTGATGGTCAGTAGTGGCATGATGCTGAGTGTGGGATGGTCAGTAGTGGCATGATGCTGAGTGTGGGATGGCCAGTAGTGGCATGATGCTGAGTGTGTGATGGTCAGTAGTGGCATGATGCTGAGTGTGTGATGGTCAGTAGTGGCATGATGCTGAGTGTGGGATGGTCAGTAGTGGCATGATGCTGAGTGTGGGATGGCCAGTAGTGGCATGATGCTGAGTGTGTGATGGTCAGTAGTGGCATGATGCTGAGTGTGGGATGGTCAGTAGTGGCATGATGCTGAGTGTGGGATGGTCAGTAGTGGCATGATGCTGAGTGTGGGATGGTCAGTAGTGGCATGATGCTGAGTGTGTGATGGATGGGATGGTCAGTAGTGGCATGATGCTGAGTGAGGGATGGATGGGGTGGTCAGTAGTGGCATGATGCTGAGTGTGGGACGGTCAGTAGTGGCATGATGCTGAGTGTGGGATGGTCAGTAGTGGCATGATGCTGAGTGTGGGATGGATGGGATGGTCAGTATTGGCATGATGCTGAGTGTGTGATGGTCAGTAGTGGCATGATGCTGAGTGTGTGATGGTCAGTAGTGGCATGATGCTGAGTGTGTGATGGTCAGTAGTGGCATGATGCGGAGTGTGTGATGGTCAGTAGTGGCATGATGCTGAGTGTGTGATGGTCAGTAGTGGCATGATGCTGAGTGTGTGATGGTCAGTAGTGGCATGATGCTGAGTGTGTGATGGTCAGTAGTGGCATGATGCTGAGTGTGGGATGGTCAGTAGTGGCATGATGCTGAGTGTGGGATGGACAGTAGTGGCATGATGCTGAGTGTGTGATGGTCAGTAGTGGCATGATGCTGAGTGTGTGATGGTCAGTAGTGGCATGATGCTGAGTGTGGGATGGTCAGTAGTGGCATGATGCTGAGTGTGGGATGGCCAGTAGTGGCATGATGCTGAGTGTGGGATGGTCAGTAGTGGCATGATGCTGAGTGTGTGATGGTCAGTATTGGCATGATGCTGAGTGTGGGATGGTCAGTAGTGGCATGATGCTGAGTGTGGGATGGTCAGTAGTGGCATGATGCTGAGTGTGTGATGGATGGGATGGTCAGTAGTGGCATGATGCTGAGTGAGGGATGGATGGGATGGTCAGTAGTGGCATGATGCTGAGTGTGGGATGGTCAGTAGTGGCATGATGCTGAGTGTGGGATGGTCAGTAGTGGCATGATGCTGAGTGTGGGATGGATGGGATGGTCAGTAGTGGCATGATGCTGAGTGAGGGATGGATGGGGTGGTCAGTAGTGGCATGATGCTGAGTGTGGGACGGTCAGTAGTGGCATGATGCTGAGTGTGGGACGGTCAGTAGTGGCATGATGCTGAGTGTGGGACGGTCAGTAGTGGCATGATGCTGAGTGTGGGACGGTCAGTAGTGGCATGATGCTGAGTGTTGGATGGTCAGTAGTGGCATGATGCTGAGTGTGGGATGGTCAGTAGTGGCATGATGCTGAGTGTGGGATGGTCAGTAGTGGCATGATGCTGAGTGTTGGATGGTCAGTAGAGGCATGATGCTGAGTGTGTGATGGTCAGTAGTGGCATGATGCTGAGTGTGTGATGGTCAGTAGTGGCATGATGCTGAGTGTGTGATGGTCAGTAGTGGCATGATGCTGAGTGTGTGATGGTCAGTAGTGGCATGATGTTGAGTGTGTGATGGTCAGTAGAGGCATGATGCTGAGTGTGTGATGGTCAATAGTGGCATGATGCTGAGTGAGGGATGGATGGGATGGTCAGTATTGGCATGATGCTGAGTGTGTGATGGTCAGTAGTGGCATGATGCTGAGTGAGGGATGGTCAGTAGTGGCATGATGCTGAGTGTGTGATGGTCAATAGTGGCATGATGCTGAGTGTGTGATGGCCAGTAGTGGCATGATGCTGAGTGTGGGATGGCCAGTAGTGGCATGATGCTGAGTGTGGGATGGCCAGTAGTGGCATGATGCTGAGTGTGTGATGGTCAGTAGTGGCATGATGCTGAGTGTGGGATGGCCAGTAGTGGCATGATGCTGAGTGTGTGATGGTCAGTAGTGGCATGATGCTGAGTGTGTGATGGTCAGTAGTGGCATGATGTGAGTGTTGGATGGTCAGTAGTGGCATGATGTTGAGTGTGGGATGGTCAGTAGTGGCATGATGTTGATTGTGGGATGGTCAGTAGTGGCATGATGCTGAGTGAGGGATGGTCAGTAGTGGCATGATGCTGAGTGTGTGATGGTCAGTAGTGGCATGATGTTGAGTGTGGGATGGTCAGTAGTGGCATGATGTTGAGTGAAGGATGGTCAGTAGTGGCATGATGTTGAGTGTGGGATGGTCAGTAGTGGCATGATGTTGAGTGTGGGATGGTCAGTAGTGGCATGATGTTGAGTGAAGGATGGTCAGTAGTGGCATGATGTTGAGTGTGGGATGGTCAGTAGTGGCATGATGTTGAGTGTGGGATGGTCAGTAGTGGCATGATGTTGAGTGTTGGATGGTCAGTAGTGGCATGATGCTGAGTGTGTGATGGTCAGTAGTGGCATGATGCTGAGTGTGTGATGGTCAGTAGTGGCATGATGCTGAGTGTGGGATGGTCAGTAGTGGCATGATGCTGAGTGTGGGATGGATGGGGTGGTCAGTAGTGGCATGATGCTGAGTGTGGGATGGTCAGTAGTGGCATGATGCTGAGTGTGTGATGGATGGGGTGGTCAGTAGTGGCATGATGCTGAGTGTGTGATGGATGGGATGGTCAGTAGTGGCATGATGCTGAGTGAGGGATGGTCAGTATTGGCATGATGCTGAGTGTGGGATGGATGGGATGGTCAGTAGTGGCATGATGCTGAGTGTGTGATGGTCAGTAGTGGCATGATGCTGAGTGTGTGATGGATGGGGTGGTCAGTAGTGGCATGATGCTGAGTGTGGGATGGTCAGTAGTGGCATGATGCTGAGTGTGTGATGGATGGGGTGGTCAGTAGTGGCATGATGCTGAGTTTGGGATGGATGGGGTGGTCAGTAGTGGCATGATGCTGAGTGT